AAAAAAAAAAAAAAACAATGTTACCGACAAACCGCAGTCCGAGTAAAGCAATCAAAACCGTCATAAAAACAATGTACATCGTTGCACTCTTTTTCACATCTCCCATTAGCAAAACGGTGAGCGCAAAATTCCGGATGTTCACCACAACCCGATCTCAAATACGCGTCATACGGAGGAACCTTCTTCTCACACCTTGAACCCCCGAAACCTGTAATGCTCGTGTCAGCATCAGCACCACTTGTTAACAAGAAAAAACAATAAATGTATTTGAGCTGACGTTTAAATGATCAGTATTTACAACGCTTTTGCATATTACCAGAATGTTTTGCAAAAGTAACATCTCTTTAAACCACCACTACAACTGGCTTCAATTCTTTAATTGAGCTTCTATAAAAAAAATAAATCACTTTACCATCTGCACATAAACAGTGACCCGCATAACATACGCCACCGTTAGAACAATGATTCTTTCCCTTGCAGCTGAAAAATAATGAAGAACTTGTAGTTTGCAGATAAAACTCAAATACTCGTAAAGTAAGAGTTGACACCTCGTTCAGAGGATTAAAAATTCCACTTGCCAAAGGCATAATATCCTCAAAAGACGTTCGAAACTTTAGATAAAGATTACACATCTAAACGACGTTCACAATGATTTCCAGCATAACCACTCCAGCAATGGCAGAAAGCTGACCCGTTCAAAATCAAGCATTTCCCTCTGTAACTGCAGTAATTGGGATCTGCGCAATTTGCTAGTATAGTTTGCAATCCTTTTAACTGAAATCAAGCTAATAATGTGCAGAACAAAGGTGATGAAGAACATTGGGTATGAGGAAAATTCCCTATCGAATACATCCAGAAGTCTCATTTTGACGTCATCGAAAATAGAAAGAAACTGACACAAACTGATACAACAATACGTGAACTGCCATATTTTGGTACCATTTATCCAGTCAATAAAAATCTCAGGTCTGACACAGAAAAACACCAATTTTGAATGCCTCCCTTAGATGTATAATAATTCCAACTAGAGCTTAAAGAAGAGTTGTACCATGTGAAAAAGAAAAGGATAAATTACATACCAAGACTAAGATAACTACACCTCCGACCACAGAGAGTTTCGCCATACCGAAAACCGCGTATCGATGGAAATTTCCCTTACGCAGCTCTTTAATTGTACAACTCGTTTTATGACACGTCAAAAGACAAGACTTTCAACAACTTTCCCCAACCATTTAAAAATAAGATTTGAAAAAACAGTTAATTTTACATTCCTATTCACGCTATATCTGTAACGCTATCAACAGACTGTTCGATATATGCTACATATGGGACTACTTATTCTAAAGACAAATGAACACCAACAGTGCTAATGCACCTCAATTCCCCCAAGTCCGAAACGGTTACTTTTTTTAAAAACCACTTCTCACTCGAATCTCTTAAACCAGTAGTTTCTTTGGATCAAACACTTAGTTATCGTCCGCATCTGGAGCAGAAATTCTACAAGATTTTTTATTGAAGTTAAAACTTCCTTAATTTGATCGAATACTACTAAAATTACTATAAGAAATCGATAGCACGTAATACCACCAACTCCTAAGAAGTACACTTTTGTCCACTCGCACTTACAGGGAACACCTGAACTGTTCTAGTCCTCTACTTTGTCCAAACCTTCTGGAAAAATCTTACACAAGTTTTAAAAAGAAAATAAAACGGTTATTGATTTGTAATGAAGTGCCATCCCTTTCCACTAACAAAACATACCAAATATACACCTGCTTACATATTCTTTAGAGCACCACCAAAAACATGCGACGTTGCGGTAACCACCCGTTCAGCATACAGAACCATGCACTAAAAGACTACACAGATGCAGTTACACCAGCCCGTGCAACTTTTTTCTTTCATTCACCTACAAACAACCAAACACTGTTTTGCTTTGAAAAATTCCAAGACACCACCAGATTTAACTCATTATATATTCTTTACGCACCCAAACTCTGCCACCCTCTCCTATGTGTTCTACCTGTTATTAAAACTACTTTTAACTCACCCCTTCTTAAATCGTTCCCATTAGATAAAATATTACAGCTTGAACTGCCAGAAAATCAACTCTACAAAACTACGACTACTGCAAATAACGTTATTCCTTCGACGCGAATCACACAGCAAATACCCAGAAAACCAAAACAATAAACATAAATGAATGTTTAACTTTATTTTATTTTATAAAAAATTCATGTTTTTATTGGAGGACGCCAAATCCGTTTAAGTATATTATATATTTTTTAGAATAATTACGAGAATCTGGTCGGTCCACCGGACCCAGATCTATAGTGAAAACAACAATCAAATGAGAATTACAAAAATTTCTTCTGGCACACATACATAACAAGATTCACAAGAAGTGCCAGGAACGATTTGAAGGAAAAATTTTACAGCAAATTAGCAGCTTGACAAAAAGAGATGATTAACAAGGCGTCAAAAGCACTGCTACACTGATCAAACGCACATATAAACTAATGGCCTGCAATTGTTTCATCACCTATCTCTTCTTCTTCATCATTTTCGGAAGTCCACAGCGCTAAGTTGTCTCGCAGCAGCTGCATGATCAAAGTACTATCTTTGTATGAGTCTTCATCCAGACTGTCTAGTTCAAAAATCGCCAGCTCGAAGGCCTGTAAATGCGGCTAGCTACAAGAACCCGATTCAGATTGAAAATGGCCAATGCTTAAAATATACCGGAACCCATACACAGATTAAAGTAGTATAAAGATATCCATGAAGGAACGTAAAACCTACTTGTTTTGCTAGCTCGCAAGCCTTTTCTGTGTGATTTAAAATTTCATAATAAAAAACTGAATAATTCAGAGCTAAGCCAAGTCTTATTGGATGCGTAGTTTCCAAATGTTCTTTAGCGATATCAAATGCCTTCTGATACGCTTTATGCGACTTATCAACGACTCCTTCAAAAAATTTTGGCAATAAATTACAACAAAGTTTCCTATACAGAAGAAAAGTAGAGATCTTTCTTTTGCACTTTTATAATTTCACAGATCTACTACAGTTCCTTATACGAATAGGAAATTACAATCCATCAACTGAAAAGATAACTATATATCTGACAACAGTACGCCCAATTATCTAGCATTAGAATGCTTCATCTTCATATGCAAATTATTACATCATAACTGCTGCCCTAATATCCTACATTAGCGAATAAAAAAAGATGAAATTCCTTGCTAATGGTATACCAAGCAAATGAGCTTAACCTCGAACTGTCTGACCGACATATAGGTTTTACTTTGTAAAAAGTTCGTGGCAAATAAGAAAGTATTACGAAAACCAAGAAAATATCACCCAGAGAAATTTGGATCTAATGGGTCAGCTATACAATTGCATAAGGATCAAGATATCTTCATAAGACCACAGCTTAAAATGGAAATATTGGAGACCGAGACCACAAAACCTTCCAAGTGATAAAGTAATTTAAATAGTAAAGATACTCAGTTTCTTGCC